TAACAGACAGTGATTTCATACTCACAAACAGAACATGTGCGATAGCAATCACCGCAGACATGAGTTTTAGGACAGCGTTAGCGGCAGATTTTAAGAGAGAATACAAAAACGTGGAATTCCTTTGGAAGCAAAGACCAGGGATAGGGGGCGTGGCAGCCTTACCTCCGGCGACGTCGCAGATACCGGGAAAATACTTGTGCTTCTTGGTAACGAGGGCGACGGAGAAGCAGCACGTGGACCCAGAGAACCTAGTCTTGTCTTTGACGAGGCTGAGGGACTTCCTTGTCGAAATGGACGTGAAGGAGCTCTCGCTTCCAGTGTACGATCCAAACAGAGGAAGACTGCATCCTCGGGAATTGTACGCGCTTGTACACGTGATATTCTCTGATACGAACATACAAGAATATCTACATAAGAAATATTACTTAAGTATAGGCTGAGTGATGTGCGAGAGAGTGTTAGGCCAAAGACTAAGTTGTATGTAATAGGTGATATGTGTGTTATGTTATGTTATGTTATGTGTTAGGTTATTAAGATCATGGGTAAGTAGGGGTTAGTGACCATGAACAACTAAATGACGATCTTGGGAACAGATCCAAAGTTTGGACTGTCCAATCTTAGGTCGAATTCCAAAATTTTAGAAACCAATTGATTTTAATAAATTTTAGGATGAATATCTTTTTATCTGAACTGTTTTTAAGCAAATTTTAACGATATATATTAAGGTGAAACTGACAGGTGTGACAGTCGTGATTCCTTTTCTAGATCCTGATTGATCATTTAATTGCTCACTTGAGTCAAAACTTGAAATCGAAATCAAATCAAACTTGGAAAGAACAGTATGGACAATTTCAACCTGGATGAATTGATGGACCTGGCAGAGGCATATGTAGGACCGATGGTAGATGCGATCTATCGTCGGCTGATCGAACGAGACTTCGCTCTGGAGGACCCAGAGGTGGTCATGTTGCTGACCGCCCTGATTAACATCTTGGGGCACGACAACCGTGGGGACCGCCCCACGGAAGTCCTGTTGATGGCAGCAAACGAAAAACTGAGAAGTACAAAAAAGGAGCTGGACGAGATGACCAGAAGCATGCTCCAGATGGAGGAAGATCGGGACATGTGGAGAAAGTTGTTTGAAGACTGCAACAAAAAGCAGGTCAAGAGATTGAGCGCTTAAGGCAGAAATACAAAGAGCAATCGAGACAAAAATGAACATCAGACACAGTGAGACTTATTGTAGACCATCAGGAGCACGATATTTGGTGGGTTCAACGTTGGCTCCAATGTGCAAGAGCAGATACCCTGTACATTTCGTGGCTGTGGACGTGAAGAGTACAAGAACGATCGTGGATCAAGCCTTCTCAGTGCCAAAGTGTGTGAGATTGGCGAGAATGTCTGAAAAGTCTTACGAGTTACTATGTAAGATGTTCTCAGCAGTTCCAGAGAGAATCAAAGAAGAATTGGAGTCAATACTAGGAAAGAAGTTCATGGGATATGTGAGTGGGAACTTCAGTGACTTTGAGAGACAGAAACAGAGAGGATCAACTGTCACAGATTACAATGCAGTAGATGAGAATGATGAAGTCCACCGAGTGATGATGGAAGTGGAACCATTGCTGGAAGCTTCGGGAAAACGTAATTGGAGGAGCATCATGTTGACGCATGACGAGTTTCCTTGCCACTGCTTGCTGCAGACCTGGTGGTATCCCAAGCGTAGTAATCTGATGTTGATCTGGGACTCTGGAGAGCTGCTCTCCATGGGTTTACCAGATTCATCACAGCCCGTAACGATAGTGATAGTGGGAGTTATGATGGCGATATGATGGCTGGAAGCTCATGTGAGAGAAAATAACAGACAGGAGGCACCGACGAGAGAACAGTTGCGGAAATTAGATTGTCTAAAAGATTTAGATCTTTTTGAGACAATGTGCAAAGTTCTAAACCTTCCGATGGAAGTGAAGAAGATATGGGCAAGGAAACGATTGATGCCATGGTTCAGAGCTAACATGACTGCATGGTTGTACGAGTATGCGAAAAAGCATATGTCGAAGCACGGCAGGGTGTACAGTGAATATCAGCTGGACATTGGAGCAGGAGCTTTCAAGCGAGCTCTCGTGACTCATCGGAATGCAGTGACCACCGCTGTGAAAAGAATTTCCAGGACGAGTGAACGTAGTGGAAAAGAGAAGGCAGAGATGCTGAAAGAAGATTTGGAGAGAAACGTGACGTTGTGTCTCCACAACAGCTTCTGCAGGAACAGAGAATCTAACGTGGATCCCCTACCTTGTTGTAAACAGAGGGTGGAAAAGCAGAAGTGTTGGAGGACGGCTTCCAGCAGCGTCAGGATAGCTAACGACGTGTTACAAGATACGGAAACTGAGAGTGCAGAGTCAGTATCACAGGAGGAAGAAATGGATCATTGACGGATGACCGAAAGAAGAGATGAAATTAGAAGAATTTAGAAGTTTTAGAACTTCTAAACGACGAAAAAAGAAGAAAACAAAGGAGTGACGAAGAAAAATTAAAACTCAGAATTGTTTTATGTGTGTGAAAAACTCAAGTGAGAAACCAAGCAACCAAGTTGTAATTGAAAACTGAAACATTAAGTTGAGTTTTGAAATTGTTGCATTTATAAATTTGCAATTTGATTTTAGTTGAAGTGGCTTTAGAGACACTCACTTACTATTTATTTAGGAAGGCTTAAGTGAAGGAGTATATTTAAATATTCCAGCCTGCATGACTGTTTTTAATCAGCTAGGAGAACTGATCACTTTGTGGTGACATGGAAGGCTTGAGTAGTCTCTCGAAGAGGGAGATTAATTCATTGTTCTTTCTAACCACAGAGTTTCTTAGTTTTAGTATTCAGGACAATAACAAGCAAGATTTCCGAAGGGAAAAGCGTAGTAGGGTAATTTTAGCTTGTTGGTTGGCAGGACTGTCCTGCAAGCCAACACCTTTTAAATCTAAGAGAAAAGTTTTAATCGGGACATTGACATTGGAAGTCAGAAAATATGTTTTATCTTAAGTCATATCCTCAATGCGCAGATTAATGAGAGAATTTGAAGGCTATAGTGATGTAGTATGATGCCATTTATATTCTGCAGTGAGTCGATGTGACGTGGATAAAAGTAATTTCGTGCATTTTGTAAATTCTGTTCGATGACACTGTGACCATTTTACGAATATTGCGTGATTCAATGAGGACATTGACCGGACTGTCCGGGGAGTATGTGACATTCGACCAGAATGTGAAAAATGCAATCTCTGCAGAATTCGAATTTTTAGCAGCGAGCCTTCCGGATTGGTGATTATTAAGAACTAAGAACGTTATTGGAACGATTGGCCAGACGGTGAGGGCTGGAATATTCTGGTATTTTAAAATTTCAAATATGACGTCATATTTTTGAGAAACGTCAGAAACGGCCATTTTGGCTGAAACAAGGGAGAGAGACAGAACAACATTAGCTGCGCTAACAACAACTACGAAATAGAGATTGGAAAATGACAACGAGTTACAGAGTAACAGAGAACACTCCGAGTTGCAAATATTGTGTCGCTACAATAGTTGCAGGGCCGTTGCAGACAACGGTGAAGGGTGGAGGACAGCCTTCTGGATTAAGAGGAAGTCAAGATTAGCGAGCTTGATTCAGTGGATTCAAGAATCCGGAAGGGTTTCGGGACTGAAACTTTTAGCTTGTTATATAGACTTTTAGCTTCTTGTCATGTCCTGATTTGAATTTAATTAACATCTAGATTCATTTTGATAAGGATGAGAAGCTAGGAGTTGGGGGAAAGGGTTGATCCATCTTCGATGGAGATGATGATTTTTATCTACTGAACAAAAACAATAGTAATATAATAAGTAGTAGCCCTGTTTTTAGGAGTGACCTCGTGGTCTGGGGATACTGAGACCCAGCCATGAGATCACTATTTTTGCATGTAATCTAGTTAATTTGAGTGTTTTGACCGAAGCCGAAAGCAGTAACGTTTTTGTCGACCCGATGTTAGAAAGACCACCGAAAAGTACTGGTTTGGTAGAGACGGTGAAAAGCATGCAAAGCTCTGTTTAGACGCTAGCCAGTCGTCTTAAGACTTAGTTTTGTCTTCCGTCGATATGTATCTTCCGGGCGAATGTTACAATATGTAGTGCCAATAATCAGCTATGCATCGTCTCTTTGGAAACCATCTAAATCTGAACTGGCACTCACTGAGAAGGTTCAACATCGAGCAAGTATCTGGATATTAGGCACAAACAACCTTTCATATAAATCGCGTCTTCAAAGACTTCACTTACTACCACTGTCCTTATATCATGAAATGCATGTAGTTTTACTTTTTGCTAGGATTATCAACTCGAAAACTGACATTGATTGGGAGAAGTATGTACAGATTATTGATACAGGCATAACAAGATCTCACGCAATACCCTTTTATACCAGCAAATGCTTCCGACTGAAAAAATGCGAATCTGATTTTTGACAACGAGCATGTTCACTTTCAAATATATTAAATAGGCATCTCAACCAAGATGTCATCAAATCAACGCAATGCAAAGAAGAACTGACAACTATCTACTGGCGCTACTTCACTGCGAAATTCAACGAAAACCCCTCCTGCACCTGGAGATTATGCTGCGACTGCACAAACTGCATCAATACTGCAAAACTGAATTTCTATGAGACTCAATAAACTGAAAGTGACAGGGAAGCAATTCCCCTGGAACTTATCCTAAATCCTTCATTATTATTATTATTATTATTATAAAAGGACTTAAACACTTGTCATCTTCTTTTATCATTATCACTTCCATATCTAAAAAATTCCAAGGATTTTGACTGGAATACATGATGAAGGGACTCATGACTGTAACCTCGGTTACTATGATACTTTTGACCTGATTACCTTTAAAAAAAAATCTGTACGTTCTTCATGAACGTAGTTCAAAGTACGCCTTGCTAGTAAATTTTTGATGTGTAGCTTTTCTTTTCAGATACGGACACGTTAGTGTCATCTGAGGTGCATATCTTATTAATCATCATCTCGCGTAACATCAGGCGAGAACACAGTTTGCTCGTGCGACAAAGAAAAATTTCAGTTGTCAGCTTGTCTTTTTGATAGACAAGCTTTTTCCAAAGAAGTAACAGTCTAATTATTCTACAAAAATATCTCCAAACAAACGAGTTAAATTTTTCTTTTATTGAGTCAATTGGTAATAATGCAGTGCTAAACAACCATGAAAAATTGTTGTCGTTATATCAATCAATTCAGTGATGAAAAAAGTCTCAAAGAAGACACTGATGGCATCAAAAGGCGGGAACAGCGGGGTCGACAGTCATTCGAGCTCGTCCAACTCCTCATGCGGGACTGTGGCAATTCCTAGTACTAGCGGATCTTCGGCACAACTAAGTGGCGGAAGCACCGCCAAATGTGAGTTCAGTATTTTTCATAGCAATAATTGAGGTAATCTTCAGCATTGCATTTTAGTTATTTTCATGAGATAAAAGTTCTGTCCCTTGCGTAGGTTCGGAGTTTGGAAACCGAAGACCGAAATATGGAAACAGAAACAATGGTGGAACGGCAGGAACTAAGTTCAATTACAAACAGCATATGTGCCGGACTGGTGGCAACATTTCAAGTGGACAGAAGAAGGGAGCTAATGGAAATCAAGACCAAGAAATTCTAATCGACAGGGAAACTGAACTTAACAATGAAATCGAAGGCATGCGGATATCTAGGAAGACCAATTTGTCGCACCTGCTTAACTTCAAATTTGCAAACAGCGCTAATCAAGATTATGGGGATGACTATGGAGGAGGGTATTTGACTCAATTCATTGCAAGAGGGCCGTACAAGAAATCATACGACAAGTACCAGTTTATACAGGCCAAGTATGTACGAAATAATAATGATTATTGAATGGTACGTTGTTAACACTATTCAATATTTATCCAGAAGGTTTCGAAAAAGAAACTTATATATGTTGTCGTCTGATTACACAAGCGCAGCGTAGTTTTTTGATACCAAGTTAACTTTTCTAACTCAAGTCGCAAATGAAAGTGTTCAGTTATTTGCTGGCACTTTTGCAGCAATAACACTGTATCTGATTTACTTTTGCTGCAGAGCATTATATCCTTGTATTGGTGGCTAGTGTTTGAAGATTGTCGAGTAACAATTGCGCAGTTTTTAGACGAGCGATCCTATATTTTAATATAGCAGTATGAATGTTTGTTATTTCTACCCTTTCTTTTCTTGTTTCACTTTTTGACTTTGTTTTTGCCGCTTTTTTGCTTGCTAATGATTTCCTGCTCCGCCTCAGTCCGAAACTTTAGTTTATGAACTTTGTTTTAATTTTAGTTGTAAATTCCAAGTGGACGAATCATGTGAAGAAATCTACTCGCCCGATTCTTTCATTGACTGGGAGAAGGTGGTTGAAGTGCAGCTGTTGACGCCGGATTTCGCCTACTGCGCCATCTGCCTGGAGCAGCCAACTGCACCCAAGATCACCAAATGCGGACATGTTTATTGCTATGCATGTGTACTCCAGCTTTTGTGTTAGTTTAATAATCCAATTTACCGATTTCAATGATTACTCTTGCGAGTGCTAAAGTCTTGTAATCGGGAACTTTTTCCCATGAACAACATTTCTTAAAAATTGTTTAAAAAAATGAACTTGCTTTTTTTCGAACCTATACAATTTCCAGGCTCATTCCCACTTGGTCTAGAGGTAACGCGGTTGCCTTGCACCCTAAGATCTGGGGTTCGAATCCCGGCTAGACCTTGTTTTCCAGTATGTATGAAATAGATTTTTTTTGAAGTGACGGAAGTTAGTTTGTCTGCTTACGTTTTTTCGGCTTAGTTGCTACATTTCGGATGTTGATTTTTCATGTGCTGTAAGAAATTTTTATTTTAGTAGCAAGTGTTGTTGATTTACTCATGTAATATGTACACTTTTTAACATTGACTTAATATATTTTTTTTTCACTGAAGAGTTAAGTTCGGCTTAAATGGTTTCGGCTTTTCCTTTATTTGTTTAATGGCCTATTTTTGTTCTGAGTAAACGACAAGAATGGCTTCTTTTTTAAGAAATATTTGATTTCACTTGTGATGTAACAGTTCAAAAATTTAAAAATAAAGCTCTCAACATTTTTATGACAACTGTTATTGCATTTTTTTCTGCTTAAAGGGCGTCTACCCTCTTACTGTCGGCTCAGTGGCCGCTTGGTGAATAACGAAAGCTAATTTAATGCTGCCGCTCTGTGAATAATAAAAGTTAGTTGAATGTTTGTTGTTGTTTCTCTTTTTTTTCGAAACGAACTTATAATTTTTGCCATAAGCAATCATTTCGAATCGGAACAGGTTTTCCACGAGAAAACTATTTTCTTTTACTTTATTTTTACTCTAATTTTTGTTCCGACTTTCGTATATCATTCAAAAGCTATTGTTGCCCTGAGCTTAAATTTGGAACGATATTTCACCTGTGATCATTTTTCGTAAAGTTATTGGGGTTTATAGATTGCCATTTTGGCCAATTTGAGACAATTAACGCGCGATGTATTTCGCGCTATTAACGCGTGAGTGAGATTTAATCCCTATTAGAAATCGTTCCAAATTCATTGAAGGAAGCTTATATGTCATAATTGGTTTGTTAATAGGAGCAAAATTTATCAATTTGTGCTTAATATGGCGTGTGTGGTGATGTTTTTTTTACATTTAAGTTTTTCATGTTCTTGCTGCTCCATAGACCTTTAAAGGCAGTCGGAACATTCAGGGCTGTGCCTTGATAGGAGCAGTTTTGTTACATTTAAATTTTTCATGTTCTTGCTGCTCCATAGACATTAAAAGGCAGTCGGAACATTCAGGGCTTCGCCCTGATACGAGCAGACTTGTTTCAATTTTATGATGGAATATTGTGGCCCTAACATGCTATGCTATGTGCAAAGCAGCGGGTTACCTCAGTTTTCAAAAGAAGAAACTGTTGCGAGGTATTAAGAGTAATGAACGCAGTGAAGATTCTTATATAAGTCTTGGTGATTTTTTTTCAGGAAAATATCTTAAAATAAGCCTCAAATAACTACAGATGTTCATTCATACATATTGATGCCTTTACGAATGCACTTTGGTATATATGCACTTTTTGAGTTCAATTGAAATTCATCTGCTGAAAGTGACATTAAGAGCACTCTCCACATGCGAATGGGGGAAGTGGCGCAAAAAAAAAACGAAAGAATTCTTGTTTCGAAAGTGGAATTTAATTTTTAGATTTCCAGTGGATTTTAGATGATCCAGTTTTCTCAAGTTGGGTTAATGTTAACAAAAAAGCTCCAATACTTAATGGTTCCAGAAATTTAAAGGGTATCTATTTTTTTCTTTGAAATTCGAAAGTTGAGATTGTTTCAACAAAGTCAGTGTTTTTTTAATGTTTTCTTGCGTTCATTACTCTTTTCTTATCTTCGATTGGCTAAGTTTGGATTTTTGACGCAAGTTTTTTTGAAGGCATGCTCAAAAACCCTCTGAAATTGAGGTTCTATCGGAGGCGATGCAAGTTCTGCAAATAACTGCTAGTATTCCTTCAAATTGCTTTATTTATCTGCCAAGATAAATGTGTGTTTCAAGATAGGCGTCTGAAAATTGGCGTATGCCTTGACGTCAAAAATATCCGATTGTATATACATTCATTAGGATTCCGGCCTGTCAATGGTCAATATGTCTGTACTAATAGCTTCCTTTTTAGTTTTTGAGTGACATTTATGGTAATGGTAGCATTGTGAAAAGGAATTAGTTTCGCCTCATTGTTGAAAATAAATATCAGTTGCTATAAAGTATCCACGTCACATCTTTATGCCGAGCTAAATTTCGATGCTCAATTTTGCTAGATGTGTTTTTGTAATGCTCAAATCCTGCTCAAATTAGATATTAGGTTTATGAAACATGTCTCGTCTTTGAAAATGTAGTCTAAAATACTTCGAAGAATTTTCGGTAGATATAAATTATAAGTGTTTTTCAGTACAAGTACTGCCGTATCAAATAAAAACACTGCATCTATTTTTCTACTCAGCATTGGAATATTGAGAAGATGGAGTTTTGAAAACGTGACCGTTTAATTCATAAAGTAGTTGAAACTTGTTAAATAGTTCATTTTAATGGTCTTAAACCGCTTTGGTATTTCTTTGATCTCCAGTTTTTGTGACAAGTTTAGTGTTTCATGGATATGCAAAATCTGCGACGCATCATAGAAAAGCGGTTTTTCGGGTGTCACGTTTTTAGAATGCGGCTTAGCGATGAAAAAATAACGACAACTTCACTCTATGAAATAAAAGACAAATTAGAACTTTTTTCATACTAGTTAAAAGACTAGGTATTGATTAATCAGGAATTGATCAATCAGGATGGAGATAGCGATACTAACGAATGTAAGAATAAAAAATAATTATTTATTTCGTATATTTGTTCGATTCTGATTGGATAATACAGTGTTTGTCTACTTCATGATTTGTCTTTTTTATGGTTTGTATACTTTTTGCTACGTATCCGTTAAAATTGAGGTTCAATATGTCCAGGTCTTTCGGAGAAGAAGTGGGCCAAGTGTCCGATCTGCTTCGACGCAGTCTCCGAGAAAGACGTGAGGTGTGTGAGGAGTCTCAACATGAAGCTGTTCAAGATAGGAGACACCATCTCACTCCGACTCATGACTCGACTGCGCAACTCGATCAAAGTCACCCCCAAAGTGTCGGACGTGATAAAGCAGCAGGATGGCAATGCTGACTGTCAGAAACCAGGTATGCTGTTCGAAAGAGAGGTTGTTGTTTTTCACTACTGAATATTTTTGTGTTCCAAAAAACAATGCATGCTTGTTTGCTGCGGAACTTTAGCTACAGAGGTATTATATTAAAAAACGAATTAAACCAGTTAACGTGGCAGGACATTGCAAAATACAGATGATATTGTGTTTTTATTCAAAAGAGTTATATAAAACTTCGATTGACATTATCAAATGTTTTTTTTTAGAATCCGAAGGTGATGTTGGTTCGAAAGCGGATGCCTCTGCAAACGTATCTCCGTCGGCGCCTTCGACAGGTGTCGTGTCCACTGGAGCACATGTAAATCTGGACAAAGTGACCAAGTTAAATCTGGCACAACAGGTTGCCTTTGTCTACAAGCCAGTGTTGGATTGTCTCAAAGTCAGAGCTTTGGACGATACTAACGAGGTAGCCTACCTTACAATTTTCACGTTATATAACTCGACGTTTCGAAATTATTCACATCACACCAATAAACAAAAAAAATACTTATAGGCGCTTTATCTCGAATAAATGGTTTAACAATCTAATAAGATAAATGGCGCAAAAATTGGGGTTCCATCGCGGAGAAAACTTACTGATTTTTTTTGGCGAAGATACAAAATATATCAAACATCACATTTTGTTGCAGGAGGTCGAAAAGAAATTCATTGATCTCGCCATAACGAAAACAGAACAAACTATTGTCGACATTGAAACGAAGATTAAAGAGCAAGACCACCAGGACTTGCAGGCCGAAAAAGATGAAGAAGTTCCATTGAACCCTCTGCCTCAAAGCAAATTTACGACAAAATGGGTGAAGGAATTGGGTGCTGTGGGAGATAGTGGAAATAGTGGGGGCGTCGGAGGGGGAGGAGGAGGAACTGAAAAGTACCTGTTCTATCAGAGCGAAGATGGTCAAATGATTTTCGCGAATGCATTTACCATCAAGTGCATGTTGAAGGTTAGATGGAACTAATTGAAAGTATATCCAGAAAATAATTACTGATGATAAATACTAGGTGATAATTTTAGAAGGATTCCTATTTTGTAGAAAAAGGTTCCTGAGGTTGGCACGATAACTTGAAGCAAAATTACAAATTCTATAAATCATAAAATTGTTCCTAAAATTTGAGATTTAAGGGCATTGTTTTTTCTTTGAAGTTCGAAGTTTTATCAGAACTGTTTTCAAAATTTTAGGTTATCAAACAAATTTTTTCAAAAGTTGATTTTTTTTCAAAACAAAACTGTATATTTTTTGTTTTCTTACATTCATTGACACTGCCTGTTGGATAAATTTTTATGAACATTTTTAATTATCAATTTTTGTTTTTTTTAGACTTCACTAGAGATATTTAATATATATTAAATAATATTTGCATTTATGTACAGCTAAGATAGTGCAAATAGAGAGTGACTCCATTGGCTTATATTTGCTTCGTTCTACAGGAGTATGGATCTCTGGACAACTGTCCCCCCTTAGTGAGTGGCCAGATCGTGGACTTGTGTGAGGTGAGGGTGGATGAGTCATTCCGCTCCTCCCACCGCTTCCTCGCCCACCTCCCATTGGCTACTGTTGTCACTTTTGCAGAATTGGATCTCAGACCCCCAGTGGTGTCGAGACTCACTCTGAAACACTTCGCAGGTTGGCAATTGAACGCCATGCTGCTACAACCGTTGCTAAAAATCTCGTTTGACGGCTTCGTATTACAGTATTACAAAAAATTTTTCGAACAAAGCTTGATTGCTATGATATGACGTGATGTTTGTATATGACAAAAAAAACAGTATCGTTACCATGCCGAAATGATTTATTTTTTTCTATTTGATAAAATTTAATAATTGCTAATTCAGCCGTGGAAAGGTTGATAAGGCTATGAAAATCTTAACAAGGTTGGCCATCTCGAGGTGTTAGGGTTCTATGCCGCAATAGGAATGTTCGCATTTCGAGATACAATTTGCTTGTAATGATTCGCTCAAATTCTACTTTCAGAGGAAATTCGACTGCGAAAGGAGGAAAAGGACCGGAAGAGAAAAGAGGAGCGAAAGCGGGAGAGGAAAATCAACCGGGAGATGGAGCGGAAGATGTATCCTGGATATTCACAGACCAGCTACGAGCCAGAAGATGAAGATGAGTTCAACATGCTGGAACAACTGAAGGCGATCGAGGAGAATTTTCCATCCGTGTCTGGATCTTCAGGAGGGGGAGTTGTGGCAGAGGGGAGTAATCAGAGCGTGAATAATGAAAGGGGATCACCTAAGGCTGCAGAAGAGAGGAATAAGGAAAATAAACCAAGTTAGTTTAGGTTTTATAAGTTGAAGATAAATTTGGATCCTAGTAAGTTTTTCTCAACACTCTGAAAATGAGTGTTTGCTGCAATTCATTGCTGCCTTCAGGAGACGCAGTCTATGTATTTTTTAGTTCTGTTTTTTAGAGTCGATGGACGTCGCCGTGATTTTTTTTCAGGAAGACTTAAAGTTTGCTCACGCTCAAATATGATTTTTCGCTTTTTGACTTTTGTTTTTAGTTATTTTCCTTCGCTAAAAGGAAGGCAAACTTCACAATCGAACTGCAAAAAAAGGTAAAGGTCAGGAAAAACTTGATCAATTTCTGCAAAAAAAGGTAAAGGTCAGGAAAAACTTGATCAATTTCTATTTTCGAAAATGGAATTTAATTATCAGATTTCCCATTGGAATAAAAAAAAATTTGCCTATTTATCCAGTTTTCTCAAATTGGGCTAGTTTTATCAAAAATAAAAATCAATCATAAATTAATCTAGAAATTCAAAGAGCCTTAAGCCACTCATTTTATCTCTGGATTTATAAAGTTGCGGGTTTTTCAAAAAAAAAACAGTCAGTTTTTTAAAATTATTTCCTTGCGCTCATTGACATTTTTCCAACTGTCTGTTTGGTTATGTTCGATAAATATATAATCTTCTGAATCTAATTTTAATCGCAGGAACTTCAGTTAGCGATGTGTGGGATAGCGGTGAAGCCATAGGTAGTAGTGACCTGAACAGCTCGTCCATAGGAACCACTTTCCCAGGAGCTCAGTTCACCTCATTTGCAGACATGCTTCTATGTGCAAGTCCACCCAGTCAGTCAGCGTGGCCTGTAGCTAAACGTAGTAGCGGTGCTGGACTGACTCCAAGGGCAGTTAGTGAAGTGCAAAGTAGACAGGGTTCGTGTAAAATGACATACGCTCAGGTGAGGAAAAGTCACGTGTATGATTCGATCATTGTGTGATTAGTGCGTCAAGGATCACATTGCGTGGACGACAGTTCGCTGACAAATTTTTGATTTGAGTCGGTTCGAAGGTTTAGTGAAGCTAGAAAAAAGTAATAATAAGTACCTCCTTTTTGCCTTAAGCACCTAAATGTGTTATGTTAACTAATGTAAGCGCATATGTTTTGATTAGTGTTTGTTTTTCACATTTTGAATTAGTTCTAGAATGTTCGTTTAAGCGAATGGAGGCGATGGAGAAGGAAGAGGAGAAGCATGGAGAGTCACAGCAGCTGCTGTTCGCTTTCGATCACGTGGACTCCTCATCTTTGTCTGTTGCTGATCACGTGGTGGGTGGAGTAGAGCACCTTCTAGCCCCTCCGTCCCACAATGACGCTTTCAGTATGGCCTTCCAACAAGCACTCTTCAAACAAGGCAAGAGCACTGTTTTTATTAAAAATCCGCAAATATTGGCTGTCTATGCACGCATGCACATATCTTGAAATATAAACTCAGTTTTAAAGAGGAGAGCTATAATTTTGTGAATAGATTAAGAGAGCTGAAAAGAGCTAATAATTAAACCTATCGTCAAATTGAGCAAATCAACAAATCGCATTTTTTGTCTTTTGTCTAATTAACATTTGTTTAAGCATGTAGAGGTAAATTAATTCAAAACACCCGATTAGAATAAAATATTTGAATTCGGTTTGATGACAATAACGGGTGTTGTTATGTTATAAACAAGGATAAATGGTTGTTGTGCTTTTAGCACAGAAGGTTCCGGGCACAATTTAAGAGTGAAGAAACTCACAAAGAAATTTTTTTTAAAGTGAAGTTTTTTTAAATAACTTCATTTTTGAAAAAATTTCTTTTCCTTAGAATAAGCAGAATGAGAGTATATATTAGATATAAATAATGTATATTTTGAGTGGTAATCAAATCTGATCATATCATTTGTAAGTCTAGTGTTCCCTTTAGTCTGAAAAAAGCAAAATTTTTGACCAATTATTCTCAACACACAGCATTTTGAATTTTTTATTGGAATCCGAATTGCGACGATTATGCATCGTTCCTTCCCGTCAGTTAAGTAAAGCAACAAATAGTTTCCAAGTAGTGTTACATTAACTTCACTTGGAAACTAAGGTACGTAATGTTATATTCGAGGATGTGTCAGTTTAAAAATGACGAAAAATTGTCTGTCAAGTTTTGACGCAAATTTCGTTTTAGCTGGCAAAGAGAAAGGAAAGAAAAAGAAGAAAGGAAACAACAGCTTCAGCCATCTGAACCAATCCTAAAACTGATCGCAACTATCTAACATACGCAAGACTCGTGATTAATTACTTAAGTTAACTTGCTCACTCAACCATTATCATGACTTACTTCACCTCCTTAGAACCAATTTTCCCCTTTAAAAACTTGGTCCTTGTCTAACCTTCTTGGCTAATTGGGAATTTGAAATTGAATCGTGTAGTTAAATTTGACACAAAAAGCATTGCATTATTTTATTTTTTGACAATTTTATGGGAGGGGAATAAAAAAAGAGATGTTTTTCTGGATTAATCGGAACCTTGGCCCCCTAAATATCTTTGTTTTAAAACATTATGCGCGGGACTTTAAACTGTGACTCCAAACCTTAGATATTCCTTAATAGAATTGTAGCGTGAATTTATTTGCTTGTATTTTCCCATTTCTGTTAACTTCATTACTGGATTATAAAATTATCACATGAGATCTTTTGAAGTCTTAGTGGACAGTAAGGATTCACAATTAACAGCTCACTTTTTAGCAACACCAGGCTTCCTAAAAATCCGTTTTGATTCGAGCGAAAAGTATTTTTTCGTGTCGCTTTTTTGTTCTTTCAGGAAATCTAACTTTGTTCACGCTCGGATTTGCTTTTTCGATCTTTGACTTCTGAATTCTTTCATGTTCTGCCGACTTTCCCAGAAATTGACGGAATGTTTGTGCTCACTGTATTTTTTCATTAAAATTTCAACCTTTTGATTAGCTGCGCAAAACGCGATTTTAAAATGGTAATCTGAAAGCTAGTTAAACCTGTTTGGCTTTTGTCTGGACTATTTCCTACGCGTTTTGAAGAACTCGTCTTCGATAAATAAAGCGACAGCGCGAATTTTAACTTCCTATTTCATTTAAGTCTTAGGTAGCAAAATAATTTGACACCAGGTAAAAGTCAAATGGATCATTCAGGGTTTTGCCTTGATTTGGACGGTCTTCTGTCTGTACATCACCAGACGCAAAACAGGCTTTGCTAAAAAGTAGACAATTTAGCCTCTCGAACTATGAAACTTCAAATGCAGCAAAAAAAATGGAATTGAACTTTAGTTTTGAAATCGAGTTTGAGCTTTTAAATTTCCAGACAATATAAAACTAATTGTTAATTCTTTTTCTCAGAAATTGTTTTAGAAACAAGAAGTTTTTCTCAGAAACAAGAAAATTTTTAGAGTCAGTGAACAAAATTGTGGTGCTAATGATTTTTTGAACTTTTTTCAATAGAAAAATCTCCAGGCTCACATTCAATTTTTCGAGGTTCGACTATTTTTTTCAGTTCGGTACTTTTTCTTTCTTAAAGGGTAAAGCAAATTCCACTATTAAATTTCAAAAGTGTAGAGGTCGCGACAAAGTGATTGACCTTTAGTTAGGTTGAAAGCAATTGAATTTTAAGATTTCCCAGCAAAAATAAATTAACCTAATAATCGAAAAAAGTTTCAATCAAAAATTTCCAGATTTCAAAAAAGTTCGAAAATCTAGAAAATTGATGATTGACACTTTTTTTCGAAAATCCTGAAATTTATGATTGAGGGAGTTATAAGGGCATCTGTTTTTTACTTCTAGTAAGTCATTTTCTTTGTTTACTTGCGTCCATTGACTTTTTTCAACTATCTGTGTCTGATAAGTAACTAGAGGTTTTTTCATGTTAAACACTTTTCTGACTATTTTACCCGCGGATTTTTTTTGCGATATTTTGGTGCTCTAAATGTTTCATGTTTGTTTCATGTTTGTTCAATGTTTCATGAGGCTAAACAATATACATCACCACACGCAAAATAGGCTTTGCTAAAAAATAGACAATTTAGCCTCTCGAGCTATAAAACTTCAAATGCAGCAAAAAAATGGAATTGACATTTAGTTATGACATCGAGTTTGAGCTTTTAAATTTCCAAACAATATAAAACTAATTGTTAATTCTTTTTCTCAGAAATTGTTTTAGAAACAAGAAGATTTTCTCAGAAACAAGAAGATTTTTAGAGTCAATGAACTCAGTTGTGGTGCTGATGATTTTTGTATTTTTTCAGGAGAAAAATCTCTAGGCTCATATTCAATTTTTCGAGGTTCGACTATTTTTTTCAGTTCGGTTCTTTTTCTTTCTTAAAGGGTGAAGCAAATTCCACTATTAAATTTCAAAAGTGTAGAGGTCGCCTCAAAGTGATTGACTTCTAGTTAGGGTGAAAACAATTGAATTTTAAGATTTCCCAGCAAAATTAAATTAACCTAATGATCGAAAAAAGTTTCAATCATAAATTTCCAGATTTCAAAAAAAGTTCGAAAATCTAGAAAGTTGATGATTGACACTTTTTTTGAACTATGAAACTTCAAATGCAGCAAAAAATGGAATTGAATTTTAGTTTTGACATCGAGTTCGAATTTTTAAATTTCCAAACAATATAAAACTAATTGTTAATTCTTTTTCACAGAAATTGTTTTAGAAACAAGAAGATTTTCTCAGAAACGAGAAAATTTTTAGAGTCAGTGAACAAAGTTGTGATTCTGATGGTTTTTTGTATTTTTTCAGGAGAAAAATCTCCAGGCTCACATTCAATTTTTTGAGGTTCGACTATTTTTTTCAGTTCGGTTTTTTTTTCTTTCTTAAAGGGTCAAGCAAATTCCACTATTAAATTTCAAAATGTAGAGGTAGCGACAAAGCAATTGAATTTTAAGATTTACCAGCGAAAATAAATTAATTTAATGATCGAAAAACGTTTTAATCATAAATTTCCAGATTTCAAAAAAGTTCGAAAATCTAGAAAATTGATGATTGACACTTTTTTCAAAAATCCTGAAATTTATGATTGAGGGCGCTTTAAGGGCATCTGTTTTTTCTTTCTAGTAAATCATTTTCTTTGTTTACTTGCGTCCATTGACTTTTTTCAACTATCTGTGTCTGATAATTAACTAGAGGTTATTTCATATTAACAACTTTTCTGACAATTTTACCTGCGGATTTTGTTGGCGATGTTTTGGTGCTCTAAAAGTTTCATGTTTGGCTTTTGTCTGGACTATTTCCTACGCGTTTTGAAGAACTCGTCTCCGATAAATAAAGCGACAGCGCGAATTTTAACTTCCTATTTCATTAAAGTCTTAGGTGGCAAAATAATTTGACTCCAGGTAAACGTCAAAGGGATCATTCAGGGTTTTGCCTTGTTTTGGGCGGTCTTTTTTCTGTACATCACCACACGCAAAATAGGCTTTGCTAAAAAATAGACAATTTAGCCTCTCGAGCTATAAAACTTCAAATGCAGCAAAAAAATGGAATTGACATTTAGTTATGACATCGAGTTTGAGCTTTTAAATTTCCAAACAATATAAAACTAATTGTTAATTCTTTTTCTCAGAAATTGTTTTAGAAACAAGAAGATTTTCTCAGAAACAAGAAGATTTTTAGAGTCAATGAACTCAGTTGAGGTGCTGATGATTTTTGTATTTTTTCAGGAGAAAAATCTCTAGGCTCATATTCAATTTTTCGAGGTTCGACTATTTTTTTCAGTTCGGTTCTTTTTCTTTCTTAAAGGGTGAAGCAAATTCCACTATTAAATTTCAAAAGTGTAGAGGTCGCGACAAAGTGATTGACTTCTAGTTAGGGTGAAAGCAATTGAATTTTAAGATTTTCCAGCAAAATTAAATTAACCTAATGATCGAAAAAAGTTTCAATCATAAATTTCCAGATTTCAAAAAAAGTTCGAAAATCTAGAAAGTTGATGATTGACATTTTTTTTGAACTATGAAACTTCAAATGCAGCAAAAAAATGGAATTGAATTTTAGTTTTGACATCGAGTTCGAATTTTTAAATTTCCAAACAATATAAAATTAATTGTTATTTCTTTTTCACAGAAATTGTTTTAGAAACAAGAAGATTTTCTCAGAAACAAGAAAATTTTTAGAGTCAGTGAACAAAGTTGTGATTCTGATGGTTTTTTGTATTTTTTCAGGAGAAAAATCTCCAGGCTCACATTCAATTTTTTGAGGTTCGACTATTTTTTTCAGTTCGGTTTTTTTTTCTTTCTTAAAGGGTCAAGCAAATTCCACTATTAAATTTCAAAATGTAGAGGTAGCGACAAAGCAATTGAATTTTAAGATTTACCAGCGAAAATAAATTAACTTAATGATCGCAAAACGTTTTAATCATAAATTTCCAGATTTCAAAAAAGTTCGAAAATCTAGAAAATTGATGATTGACACTTTTTTCAAAATTCCTGAAATTTATGATTGAGGGCGCTTTAAGGGCATCTGTTTTTTCTTTCTAGTAAGTCATTTTCTTTGTTTACTTGCGTTCATTGACTTTTTTCAACTATCTGTGTCTGATAAGTAACTACAGGTTTTTTCATGTTAACAACTTTTCTGACAAACCTGTACGAAATTGAAGTTACTTTGCTAGTGAACCGTAGCATTTACGAGGCTAAATTACGAGACTGCTTCCTACATGGTCTAGAGGTAACGCGGTTGCTTTTGCATACTAAAGTCTGTGATTCTGGTCCCGGTCGGAACTCTTTTTTTCAGTATGTACGAAATCTAAAAAAATTTCCGGGAAAAGTTAGTGTCGGTCTGTCGGCTTAATTTTCATTTTTCCCTGATTTTTTTTTGCTTATAGGTATTACTCGGCTCATCAATATGTCTTTGATTTATACTTCAGAGACTTAGTTGCCTTTCTATTGCTTCAAAAGCAAAAAATGAGTGAGATGTTTTGAAAACCTCAGGTAGTTTCTGCTGCAAGATTTCAAAGTTATATAATTTATTTACTCAAATCTTTCTATTGGAACAATTTCATAAGATTTTTTTGTTGTTGGCTCAATTTCCCACTCGGTAAATAATAACAGCCTGTTTATTGCTGTTGGTTGTGTCTTTTGAATGATTTTATGCAAGCATTATCAAACTGGAATATAGACATTGATTCTAGGTGACACCTAGCTTAACAAAAACAGTTGAATCATTTCTGTAGCAACCAAACATGTTCAATTTCTTGATTCGAATTTAACTTGATTCAAATTTAACTACTGGCCGAGTGCTAGTTACTACAGGATAGTTTCAAGGGGGATATTAAACTTTTGAAAGTTTCTTGTTTGGTAAGTTTTGGTTCGGCTCAACTGGTTTCAGCTCAAAGATTGTCGGCCTTGTTTCCGTCCAGTTGCTTATTTGAGTTTCAAATGTCTTGCTTGGCATGTTTGCCTGGAAATTTTTTTGTTAAAAACAGGTATCATGAAAGTATAAGGGTTTTTTTATTTTTTTGACAGGCTTTGGAAAATTTTAATAACTTTTGCTGAAAAAAAAAAACAATTTTTCCCAAAAAACCTTTCTACTGAATTTAAAAAGAAAAGTATACATAGAAAGGCCACCTAAATTTTTGTGAGCCTGCACACTGTCCTTGTCTCTTTTTCCTTTTCCATTGGTCTTTAGCCTTTGAAAACATCTGCGGGGGAATATTTGACCGATAATTTCTTTCGTTTTCTCAAAAAGTAACCTGCCAAATCTGATTTTTAGGTTTCAATGATAAGAACAGAAGCGAAAAGCGCCCCTCAGTAAGCCGTTATAATCCAACTTTTTTTCGCAGAAAAATATGGCCCTCTGAATAGTCAAGTGTTTGATTTTCGACCGTTTTTAATTATTTTTCAAATTTTTCTCAAAAACTAACCTCCCAAATCTGAGGTTGTGGTTTCAATGGAGGTAACGGGTAGCGGGCAACTCCCTTGAATTAGCCATGGCATTCGCAACATTTTACACAAAAAAGTTCTCGTCCTCGGAGAAGTCAACTTTATGATAGTTTGAGCATTTTTTTCAAAAATTGTTGAACTTAACCAAAAAATACCATTCTATATCTGAAATTTTGGTTTCAATCCAAAAAATGGGTTGTGCAAAGCTCCATTGCTTCCAAATTTTTTATACAAATCAAATTATGGCTCTCGGAAAAGTCGAAATTTGGAACTGTTGACCGTTTTTTGAAACTTTGACTCGCCTCGAGAACTACCCGGTAAAACCTAGGTTTTTGGGTTTAATCGAAATTACAGATTGAATGAGTCTTTTCAAAACAAAAAATAGGATTCTCGGAATTGTCAAATTTCTAATTTGTTGACTTTTTTTTGGTCGTTTCTAGATAAGTATCCTGCCAAAACTGATATCATATGTTTAATCGACCCAGCAGGTTGTTGAAAGCTCAACTTTTTAATTTGCTACGCCCAGTTGCTAGAAAAAAATTGTGGCCTTTAAGCGGTAAAAGTTTTGAAAATTGGACCGTTTCTTGGAAGTTTTTTACTCGACTCGAAAGTAACTTTCCAATTCTCAGGTTGGGTTTCTGAATCGAAAAATACGGTTTTGAAAACCTACTTTACCTGCTTCGAAAAATATTACCTGTGATTAGCATGATTAGCAGAAAAAAGTTACTGATTTTTAAATTTTGATCATTATTATAGAAAGTTTTTGATTTTTTTTTATGATTCCTTAAAATCCGAGATAAAATTTTTCATTGAAAGGAGCGGTTGTGTGAATTTTTCCCGAAGAAGCGGCTACTCCTTACTTTTTTAAGAGAAAGAATAGGTTTTTGGAAAATTTTCAAAATCTCAAAATTGTTCACTCTTCTCACTTTAGTTGAGATACAACTAAGTTTTTAGGCATAGTCTAACTTTTGAAATTAGGCATTTCGTCCCTCATCAGTATAACAAACTCAAAAAAAATAAATATTTACCTCCAGTTTTAGCTGAGCCCTAAATTTCCTTCATCGAGACATACGAAAAGTTTGTTTCACCTATATTTTTGTTTTATACTTTCGTCAACGAACAGGCACTTTTTGAGCATATTTTAGTTTTAAATGGCCGCTCTATTCAATTTTTTTTTGTAAATATACCAGTTCCGGTTTCAGTGTGTCATTTTTTCAGTTTTCATTTCGACTCGTTGAACGTAGTTGAATTTTGTTTATTTTTTTTCAAAATTCAGTTCATTTCCATCGTTAAAAGGAAGGCAAACTCATCTTTTGATCAGTGAAATTGTAAAAGGCCCAAAAAACGTGATCGACTTCTAGTTTGGAAAGTGAATTTTAAGGTTTAAATTCCCAGCGGAATGAAAAACTTACCTATTTATCCAGTTTTCTCAAATTGGAAGTTTTGTAAGTTTTGTTTCGATGCTTATTTATCGTTCATTTGTTTTGTGTCTTGGCATTTTTGTGAGTAGAGTTCAAGACACAACCAAACCAAGTGCAGAAAATATTGTGGCTGGATTGGTTGTTTATAATTCATTTGCTCTGTTGTTTTGGCAATTCAAGAGAATAAAAAAACAGCGAGACTAAAAAATTGAGAAATTTGTTACTTCTTCGAAGTTTGAAAGCTTTGAAAATCAATCTATTCTTTTATTATTTACTTGAGTTCGTTGAATCGTTATAATGGCTTTATTTTTTGAAAGATCAAATAACTAACTCTTGAGGGTTTCCAAACAAAAATCGGAGTGATGATCATTTGTCAAAAGATCCTAGTTGAGTATTAGTTTATGTTGTGCATGTCTGCTTTTTTATTGCCCGTTCTATTCGAAATTTGCTTTTTTTGTTGGCTTTAATTTACCATGTTGCGTCGTTTAATGAGCGAAAAAACTTTTGTGTGTGCGTGTGTGTGTGTTTTGAGGAGAAACGTGACTTAAAAATTTCCGACAATTTTTCCGACAAAGAGTCTTGACAATTTTCAGCTTAAAGTGCTTCTGCTCAAAATTTTCTTGCTTTGTTACAGCTTTGCAAATTTTATTCCAATGTTTCTTTCAAACTCTATGGTCTTAGCACGTTTGTTCAAAATTACCTTTAGTCATTTTAGTTGATCAAGTTTTTTCCTTATTTTCGAATTTTTAAAGAAAGTTTTTCGACTTAGTGGCTTTCTTGTATTGTATTGCACGTGAAGCAAGTTTCCGCTTTGCGTCTGTCTTTACAATGGAAACGGTTTTTCTTTGTCTGTAAGTAGAAATTTTAAAGAAACACAAAACAAGGTATTAGATATTAATTTTTGATTTTTTTTTTCGCTGGTAGAGATAACGTAGTTATATGAGTCTATAAAATTTGAGCCAAATTTGTACATTTAATTAAATAATTACACTAAAAACTTACGTTTGTTGATCTATTTTAAGTAGCATAAGCAGTTATAAAAGAAACAACCGTTTTTTTTAAATTGCCCCCATTGCTGATTTGTTTTTATCATAGAAGCAGGTTCTATTATACTGAACTAGTACGGCGAAATGAAGCAGAAGGTTAATCAAATGCCATCTTTATCAAACAATCAGTGTTTTGAGCTACTAAATAATAGCCAGACTTTCATTATTTTCAGTTTTAAATTATTTTTGAGGCCAATTTTTCGCACTATTTTACAGATTTGTTTTTTTTTTCGAGAATGACAAACAAAACTTAATGTTGATTAGAAAAAACGTACAAAAATGGTGATAAACTTACTTTCTCCAGAAAAATGAACCTAAAATTTTACATGAACGTTTAGAGCAAATCAGATCTTTGCGATAGTCTAGTTTCGTTGAAACTATTCTTGTCAATAAAGTAGCTTAAATTTTCAGATGGTAATGAATAATAATTGGTCGGGATAATTGCTCCTTGAAAGATCCCAATTTCATCTTAGTTTTATTAGTAGTCCCGTTGTTCTATAACAAAAGTTTTTAATTCGTTTTCTCTTTGTCTCCGCGCTGTGATTAAGTAACGCTTTAGTTTTTTCTGGCTAGTTGTTTTCAGATGAAGATTGTCTTATTTTAATTGTGAAACCATTCACAGTTCTGCGATTTAAAAAAAACTGTTTTGACTATCCAGAAACAAAGCAAAGTTTATCGAACCCATTCCAGGCAAATTTCGTCGGTTGAATTTTGTTTTTGGTAGAATTGAGTTTTTGCTTATTGATGTCAATCTCCTACGCTTGAAAATGAATAGGTGTTTTACCCTTTGACCAACTTATGGTAAAGTTGAATTGGTTGAAAATTGCCATCTTCGCCAACGTATTGGACGTCTTCGTATTCTCTTCTACATGCAAGCCTTTACGCGCAGGAGTGTATTTGGATCTACTTAACAATCCCCCCTATTGTACCTACTAAAGAATATCCACCCCTATAAATGAACACGCTTCCTACTGAAAGTTCTAATTTTGTTGCATTCGGATTGGTAGAAAAATCGACCATTTTGATCTACTTAACAATCCCCCCTTCTTGAAAGGGGTGGAGATTGTTAAGCAAATCTGTCTATTTGATTGATTCCCTCGCATGTATATTTGCAAATCGAAGATTGAAGCTAAATAGTCGAAACTATGCATTATCAAATTCAATGCACTATGAATTTTCTCGCTTTTGAGGAACAGTTTCGAAAAAAAACCTTGAAAGTTGCGCGAATTTTTCTACCAAAAAACATGTTAACAGTTTACGTGTTTACTTGATCTGATTTTGTAGTCTTTGGCGTTGATTTGCTCGTGAGAGAGATCATTGTTCGGATTACGAGGATAGTTCACTTGTTGGTAAAATAAGCGGATGTTTAGAATCTAGCAAGCACATTGTTGAATTGTAAACAATGCGACTACGTGAACGGATATCCTTAAAAATGTTTGAGAATAGAAGACATTTCGTTGCTGAAATATTCAGATCATTAGAAAAAATTAGTTGAGCTATAGAGATGAAGGCTACAGCTAGAGTTTTGGCAAGTTGCCTTTTGGCAGCCACGTTCCAGGTTAGTGTATACTTAGAAAGTTGAATTCAAAAATCTTTTCAGAAAAAATTATCGATAATTTCCTTGTTTCTAGCCATCTTTTTGGTCAAAAACTTGTTTTCTTTATTGAGTGAAGTGAAAATTTTAAAAATTGATTTTGCTTCGTTTTTGCTTTTCTATGCGAAGAGCAAGTTGACGTTTCCGTTAATTCATGAGATTAATTATGATCTAACATGAATGTTTAATTTGAACTAATGACGAGTTTTTAATTTTGAGAGCGTGTTTGGAGCGTCCAACTCGACTGCGGATTTGAGCGTATACTTCGAAGCAGGATGCTACTACTGCATCCAGTACTTCAACACAATCATCAGGCCCACTTACCCTGCCCTGAAAACCATCCTGAACCTGAAATTATACCCTTGGGGTAATCAACAAGTAAGTCTGTCGGTTCGCCTCTAGAACCAAGTTTGTTCTAGAGGCATAAAGAGATCTATGACTAAATGGGTATACACATAGGAGAACAACTTGGGCCGATGTCCGCGACTTCAAGAAAATAGTTTGAAAGTTGCGCCGCATACTGCCTTCGACCGATTTTTGTACTCGCGTCGCGGGATAAAGTCGCGCGGCCCTGCCCAATGAGTCTTCGAGTCTTTTTGGCTTCAAAGATACAAGTTCGAGTCTCGACAATGGTTGACCGCTGGACTAACTTGGCCATCCTTTTCTATTGTTCGTTTCGTGTTTAGTTGCAGTGCACTGCACTCTTTCCGGAACTTCTGGAATTCATTTCTTCCTTGTCTCGATTCTGATTGGTTAATACAGTGTCTAAATACGCGGTTGTCTAAATACAGACCGCACTCCTCTATTAACCAATCAGAATATTAAGATCAGAAAGCAAACTTACAAACTAAAAAGTTATTTACTCTCTTGTCTTGATTCTGATTGCTTCATATAGTATTTGTCTACTTTTTAACGAGTTTGAACACGCGGTTGTCTACTTGCTGCTACGTAACCACTTTTTCCGTATTAAATCGTGAAAAATTTATTTGAATACACTGATTAGGGTTGTATTTGACCAGAACTGGATTTATAACATGAGATTACTTAAACGGAAATGAATATTGCCTTGAAATATACCGGAAAACATAAATCATGCCGAAAACTATCAGCATTTAGAATTGTTCAGCGTTGTATCAGCTAGCATAAAGCTCGAATAGCAAGAAACTTTTAAGACTCAAATGGTATCGACAAGCTTAAAAAGAGGAAACACAAAATTGAAGTTTTGTCAAAGTTACACACATCATACACGAAAAAATATGTATAAGTAAATCACAGTTTTTCGCAAATTTTATGATTTTAGCGGCGATCGGTGTCTCGCAAGTCATTACAGGCCGGGTGTGGTTGATTACGATTCATCTGTCTCGCAAATTTATTTCCTTGTTAACTGCTTTTTTTTCTCATTTGTTAAATTTTCTTTTTCTCAAAAAAGCAAGTTTCAGTTTGCACGTAGTATGACTGTTGTTTTGTATTTTTGAGAAATTAGACTATCAAAATTATGCTATTCGATATTTTTCACAACTTCAATTTTTTATGCTAGTCGAGCGGTCACTGAGTTGCTCAATTTATATTTGCTACAAATGGCCTGGTCTTAAGAACTTAACGGCCCAGAATCTGTATTTGTACGTTAGAACTGAAAATAGTTTTGTTTGAATCTGATTGATTAATTAGCCAATCAAATTTAAACATCGTGGTCCACTATGTAATCATTTCAAAATTTCAAGCACTTAAAACTATTAGCAGAAACAAAAAATATAGATTTTTTTTCTGTTGAAGCCTTTCTACTGATTTTTTCAGTCGAGGTTATTTTTCACTTGTTTCAAGAAAAGTTGATTTTTTGACAAAACTATTGTTTTTTCTTTCTGATAAATTCGGCTAATAATTTAGTCTACTAGAAAGGTTTGAAATGGCTGACTGTTTTGCATGAATTTGTTAGTTTAAAATTAGCCAATCAGATTCGGCCGCAGAAATTTCACTTCAATCAAGTCGTAGAAATTTTGATTTGGGACCGGTTAGTGCATAAGACAAAAATAATCAACATTTTTAAGTTTTTCATTCAATTTTTTCAAAAAAGAAATTAAATTTTATCCAAATGATAATAGAGATGTAACTGAAAATACTGGGTCTTTTTACTTATTCCGCCCAAAAATTAATAATTCAAAACATCTTGAACTGAAACAGTTTCGCTTCAATCTGATTGGCTAGACTTAATTAGCCAGTCAAACTTGAGCACCATCTCAAAATGTTTTGTTCACAATTTTAAGTCGACTACTAAACAAGCCGAATTGATCGAGAAAATAGATTATTTGGTAAACTGTTCAAATTCATTTGAAATAGGCTGCAGAGTTTCACCCAGACTTGAGCAAAACACAGAAAAGAGCTCCAAGCAAAAACTGACCACCTTCACATCTGCTCAAAGTTCGGCCTGGTTAGAAATCGGCTAAAGAATTAAGTTATCGCGGTTTCATTAACCAAGCCAATCAATGCGATCAGTGTTTTGCTCTCTGCATTGGTACATTTAACGCAACAAAATAGCAAAAGATAAAAATTTAGGTAGATTAAGTAAAACGACCCAAAATACTGCACAAATTTTAAAACTAAGATGTTATTATAATTATTTGATATTTTCAGGCTTTTGAGTGGAAGGGCCATGACCTGGATGGTTTCTCTTGTCAGCATGGAATCGAAGAATGCGCTTCAAACTTATTCATGGTAAATTACATAAAACAATTAGCTCTCTGAGTCATCTCCGAAATAGAAAAACTTCTGAAGGAATTTCCGATAGTTTATGACATTGAAATGCCAATACTTTTTACGTCGCAGGTGGTTTTTCCCATTTCTCATAAAAATGACTCATAAAAGTATTCATTATAGGATTTGCTCAAGTCATGATTTGTTATCCCAAATATACCCAAAGTTTTCGGGCTTAGACAGGCTGCAAGGCTTTTCATAAATCCTCTGCGAATCACAGAAATGCCAATTAATTATTATCATGATTAATTTATCACCGGAGCTTTGTATTGAGATTGATAATTTTGCAGCGTTTCTGATTGGGCAAAAATTCGACAGTTTTAACCTACTTAACTGTCGATATTTAATATTTCAGGCGTGCGCAGTGGCCGAAGTTGAGGATTACTCCAAGGTCATCGACCTCGTCATGTGCATGATGGGCTTTAGCGGGAATGACAAAAATTTTCCCACCTTTCAAGTATCATGGACATTCTGTTCAGATCAGGCTGGAGTTGACGAAGCTGCTATTAAGGAATGAATGAGTCTAATTAATTTTTTAAAATTCAAATAAAAGGAAGCTGTTGCCGAGCAAGAGGAACAGAATGTTCCGACAGAAGTAATCACTGCGATCAATTTTTTTCTTTTTTTTGGAAATTTCCTAATTCATAACTGGTTAGAAACACTTTAGCTTCAATAAAAACATAATTGCCTCATTCATGACTGGAAGGATTGTGCGGCCAGTCCTGAGAGAGGAAACAACGCAATGCTGAAGATGAAAAACGCAACTGATGCGCTGGATAGTTTCCTGGGAACACCTTGGAGTCAATTGAATGGGGTTCGATTTTCATTTGTTTTCTATAGACCATCTGAGTTTTCTATACCATCTGAAAAACATTACGGTCGTGAACTCAAGAGCTGAACTGATATTTTACCAGAGATCATTTATGAAATTGTGGTATAAAATTGACGGAACAAGAAAACTTTGAAGAATTTTTCAATCAGAAATGTGTCAATGTCTTGAGCTAAAAACGGAACAATTTTTTTACCTGTGTTCATTTTTAAAATTAAATCATGAAGGTTTGAAAATTGTCATTATGGCCGATTTGGACTAACTAATGCGCGCACCAGCGGATTTAGGAATAAGGTGGGGGTGGGGCGGACGTCTTACCCTCATTGATTCGACCCCTGTCGACCGAAATGTTTCTCTCTTTGTACTATTTTGAGATATCCATAATTGGTCACGGACCCTAAAAATTTTCTGAAGGTGGCATAGGCGCCAAAATATAGTAACTTTGAGGGGGAGCACGCGTCGAAAAAGCGGTCAAAACTTGGTCAAACTTTTTTGTCAAAACTTAACAAAAAGTGCCTGAAAACGCCTTTTTTGGCCTGTTTTACAAATACTTCCCCCCCTCCCCCTTCCTCCGAGATAATCCTAGATCCGCCCCTGAATGCGTACTATTTGCCAATTTTCAATTCACGCGTAGCGTAAGAGGCAAAGTAAACAGGCTCACAAATAATTTCAAACTGCATTGAAGCAAGCTAATTTGTCCACTTACCTCGATAATAAATGATGAAATTATCAATTTATACTTCACTTTGCGTGTAAGGGTGGCAATTTCGGAAAAAATGAAATTTCAAAAATGAACTTCTAAAGAAATTTATCGTTACCCGAAAACTCTTTCTGATACCTTGAAAAGCAGTCGGATCACTCAAAGCTCCACCTTGATACTAGCTGTTTGGTTTAAATCTCAGATACTTTTACTTATGCCTTATAGACACAAACTATCAGTAAATTATCTAATTTTTTGCGCAAATCAGGTCTTACTCAAACCGATTTTTAATTTAAAACTCCAAAACGAAAAAAAAACTTTTATTTGAGTTGATTTATTTATCAAATTACAGCCAAATTACAACCAACTCAATTTGCTGAAATGTTTACATAAGGTAATTTAAGAAAACTGGAATGTTCCCACTGCACTTCGAATGGTTTCAAAAAGTTTTTAAAAAAAGAAGCTAATTCAGCTAATTTAGGGAGTCAATGTTTTCATTGGGGCATGAAATCTGTAGTAACACTATTTTTTTGATAGCTGAAGTTCGTCTGATAAAAAAAATGACCCGAACATGTTTTTTTCCGTTTTTTCTCTCTTCGCAAGTCGGAATAAAACGTTTAGTCGTCTGAGGGCATGGCTCTAATTGTTCCGACTAGTTTTAAAGGTATCAAAAAAATTATATATTTTTCATAAACTGAAAAATTTAATCATTTTTCATTTTTGATATAAACTTATTCATTTCTTAGAAAGTCCGAAGAAAAACCTTTCCAAACAAAAATGGCCGTCATTTTTACGAAAGTCAAACATCATGTTCACTTATCACATCTGGTGAAAAAGTAAGTTCTCGTTCAATTTTCCGTTTTATTTGATTGGAAAAACCGTCTCATATCAAACATACAAGTCCTTCATCAAAAACATACGCTTAATAAGCATAAAAAAGTTAAAGAAAAAATTGCCCGAACATATATATTTTTTGATACTTTCTTTGCAAGTTGGGAAAAAAGTCTGCTCGTCTGGAGGCATAGCTCTTTTTGTTCCAACTGCTTTTCAAGGTCTCTGGTGCTTTAAAAAAAATCATATATTTTTTCGAAAACTAAAAAAACTCAAAACTTGTTCATTTTTCATTTTTGGGGTGAAATACAGACCCCAAACTTCCTAAAAATTTGAACAACAATTTTTACAAACTTAAAAAGCCGTCATTTTTTAGAAAGTTCTACATCAAGTTCAATTTTACTTCTGGTGAAAAAGTAACTACTCGTTTAATTTTCCATTTTATTTGATTCGGAAAACATCTTTTTCTAGCATAAGTCCTGAAATCAAACATAGGCTTAATAAGCATTAAAAAATAAAGAAAAAACTGCCCGAACATATATTTTTCGATGTTTTTTTGCAAGTCGGAATAAAACTTCTGCTTGTCTGATTGCATGTCTCTAATTGATCCGACTAGTTTTCAAGGTATCTGCACTTTTTCATTTAAAAATCTCTTGTATATTTTCTTTTATTTGAATTTTTTTTTGTATTTTCGTTTTTGCGGTGAAGTACAAATCCCAAGCACAAACAGCTCTCATTTTCTTAGAAAGTCAAAACAAAGACGTTTCCAAACAAAAATTGCCGTCACTTTTTTGAAAGTCAAACATAAAGTTCAATTTTACGTCTGGTAAAAAAGTAACTTCTTGTTTAGTTTTCCGTTTTATTTGATTCGGAAAGCTGCTTTTTCTAGCATAAGTCCTGAAATCAAACATACGCCTAATGAGCATAAAAAAATAAAAAAAAAAACTGCCCGAACATATATTTTTTGATACTTTTTTGCAAGTTGGAAAAAAAGTCTGCTCGTCTGGGGGCACAGCTCTAACTGTTCCGACTACTTTTCAAGGTATCTGCTGTTTTTTTTTAAAAACATATATTTGACTTATGAAAAAAAATATATTTGAAAACATATGAAAAACTTGTTCATTTTTCATTTTTGCGATGAAATACAAACCCCAAGCACAAATAGCCCTCTTTTTTTAAAAATTGAACAACAATTTTTCCAAACATAAATTGCCGTCGTTTTTTCGGAAGTCATACATCAAATTCATTTTTACGTCTGGTGAAAAAGTAACTTCTCGTTTATTTTTCCGATTTACTTGATTCAAAAAATCGTTTTTTTTTTTCTAGTGCAAGTCCAAAAATCAAACCTACACTTTTTAAGCATAAAAAGGTTTGATTCTCTTTCAGTTTTCTCTGTTCTCAAGTTTAGTTTATAGTCTTCTTGTAAAACAATGATTTGTTCTAATTTTCATAGGTTTTCAATCAATCGTTCATGGTTTTTACTGATTAGTTAAAAGTTATCAAAAACATCTATGCGGACAATGTGTGTCGTAAAATTGTTTCACGATTCAACATTTAGTTTTTTGGAGTTCAAGCTTAAAATTCTACATTTTGTCATAAAACACGTGTATAGCAGTAAAAAAGGATACCATCAAACCAAAGGCCAACGCGGAAACGCAAGAATGATTTGGAATTGTGTTTTCCGACGGGCATTATAAAGTTGCTAGCCTTAAGAAAAAACTTTTATGCTAGATTGAAATGCTTGCTTTTTCAGGACGACAGCCAGAAGCTCAACGATGAAATTTCGAGGAATCAACACAACTATATCAAGTTGATCTGTTCTTCTGTGGACCAGGTGTGAAATAGACACTGAAGCAACAAATAATCCAAAGCGACCAGAGGCGGGTCTAGGGATTTTCACGAGGGGGGAGGGGGTTGTAGAGAGGGGGGGGGGGGGTTAAAGCTTTGTCGACTTTTTGTAGGCCGAGCAAGTTGATTTTCCGAGTACTATATTGACCCTATTTAGACAAAGTTTAGTATTTATTGGCCCCTTCTAAGTTAGTATATATTGGCCCCTTCTAAGTTAGTATATATTGGCCCTTCTAGAAGATTTTTAGGGTCGGCCGAAAACTGATGTCATAAAAAATACCAAAGGGGGACCCTTTGGGTTGGTGAGGGGTTCCAATCCCTGAAGGGGGGGGGGGTTTGTTCCGTCCACCTATCCCCCCCCCCCCCCAAATCCGCCCCTGAAAGAAACTATTGATTAAATGAGACATTTTTGAAAAGAACCTTAGAAAAGAAAACATAAGAAATGAAATTTCCCCCTTTTGTTACTATGTTCCGACAATCTTAAAACTTTTCTAAGGGCATCTTTGACGCCAATATCTAATTTTGATGGTTTTGTCGCTTTTCTCGAAATTTATGAAATTTTCAACCTAGTTTTACATTCAATTTTTAGCGTAATTACTTTTTATTGCGAAAATAGAAGAAAATGTCTAAAATAAAAGTTTACAGTTTAAATCATATGTCATTTTTAGCTGAAAGAAATTGCCATTAATGTCAGGATTTTGATGAAAACTATTTTACTCGCTATATGAATGAATCTTTTTAGACCTACTGGCCACCAATTTGTTATCAGTAAGAGATGGAGAAGGAAATCAGTACCAGTAGAAGTGAAGTCAAAATAATCATGAACTTTCTGTTTATTTTATCAATTATTGTCAATTTAAATTAAACAAATTGAATTGTTTGGATTACCATGAAAAAGAAAGAGTAATGTCACCTAGGCAGAAAGTTTTGCAATTTGGCTGAAAATTGCAAATATACGTGGTGTTTCAGAGACAATTTGACAAATTAAATTAGAATTTTGCCTAAATGTTTGACTCGTGGAGCGGAGAAGATTTTTCAAATGTTTTTCTAACTGTTTTTTAAAATTGATGTTTTTGGCCTTTTTTTAAAATAAAAATACGGGAGAACTTTAAGTTATCTTCAACCAGTTCTAAGATTCAATTTTTAGCATAACCAAATTTAATCGCCAAATTAGATGAAATTTACTAATTAAAAAATTAGCATGTTATTTGATCTCTTTTTTTTCAAAAAAATCCCCATCAGTGACAGGATTTCCATAAAATTTTGGTCAAAATTACATTTATCGCTTTAATAAAGGATTTTATTTGAC